CAGGGGCCGGGAGCAGCGGTAGGGATGGTGACCCAAAAGCCTTTCCTGTGGGCTGGGAGCAGCGGGAGGGATGATGACCGGGAAGTCCCTTCCTCTGGACCAGGAGCAGTGGGACGGCGGCTCAGAAGCCCATACCTCTGGGCCTGGAGCAGCGGGACTCAGTACCTTGATCTGGTGGTCTGGTGTCCTCTCCGTCTTTGTAGTGTGGAACCAGGTGGCTACCTGTCTGCAGCGGGGGGATTCAGCGTCTTCCGCGCGACTCAGGACCTCGGTAGGGCGTGCACAGACCTGCCTGTCTGCAGCGGGCTCAAATTTATCTTTTTTCACTGAGCACTATACAACCACCTTTAATGTAATTAAGTTATTTATTTTTAGTGACTTATCATTTAAAAGAACCAAATCCTTTCCTCCTACTATTCCCTGTTTTGGGTTGTTGGTTCTATCTAATTTTTCTGTAGTCTGAATAAGCCTAGATGAACAAAATATGTAGACATAATAATGACTATCAATCATATAAGTAATACTAACAAAAATGTTAGTCATAATTAGCCAATACAAAAATTAGAGATTTTTTAAGCACTCTTTCTTATTCAGTATATGTTCTATAGGAAGTACGATATGCATATTTTACTCTTAAAGTTTTTAATGAGTTACTGTTAAATTGGAAAGAGGGGCTTACCTTTGACGTTCTCTAATAATCACAAGTGGTGAAGATCTAGAAATCCAAGCATTCCTTTGGCCTGCCTTAGTCTGGCGCAAATGCAGGACTGGAGTGCCCTCTAGCGACCAATCTAAAATAAAGAACTAAATTAAAATCTCAGCCATGTAGCGATCACCTATCTCCCCCTTTTGGCTAAAATGGGTACATGCAGCGTTTCCCATCAGCGGATGTTGCTTAATTTACAGTTTCAGGAGATGAGAAAGTGGGAGGAGACTCAGAGAGCAAGTAGTTCAATTTCCTCATTTTCAAAGAAAAAAACTAAAGTCAGAATAGGGAAGTGACTTGCCAAAGACGTTACAAACTGAGCTTAGAATAGGTTTCTGATTTCCTGCAGACCTGATTAATGTTTCCTGCTGGCTCAGCTCCACCCTGGAAGATGCAACTATTCTAACTATGTCTCTGCTTTCCCTTCCCGCTGTCCTTGGACCCAGTGTGTGTGTGTGTGTGTGTGTGTGTGTGTGTGTGTGTGTGTGTGTGTGGGAGTCCTTCCTCTCTAACCTCCCAGCATCATGGGACCTGATTAATGTTTCCTGCTGGCTCAGCTCCACCCTGGAAGATGCAACTATTCTAACTATGTCTCTGCTTTCCCTTCCCGCTGTCCTTGGACCCAGTGTGTGTGTGTGTGTGTGTGTGTGTGTGTGTGTGTGTGTGTGTAAATAGGAGTCCTTCCTCTCTAACCTCCCAGCATCATGGGAGCAAACTACAGTTTTCCTTCCTACACTTGCTCCTCAACATGTCCCAGACTGTTTCTCCTCTTGATGTTTTCCTGGGTCTGTCACCCTTACAATCTGGCTGCGACTGTTGCCAGAGTCCTCCACTTTCTCCTGTGGACAGTGACCCTGAGTGTCATGGAGGTTGCTCCGCGGGCCTTTCCTGCCATCCTGTCTCCACCAGAGAGGCTCTGAGAGGCAGGACCCTCAGGAGGAGGGTTGCATTTGCTCCTTGGACCTCTGGCCTCGGCTCTGAGTGTACTTCTTCTTAGATGCCATCAAACTGAAGCAGCAGTTCACCCTATGACCTTGTTCTTGAAGATTACAGAGTCCCCAGCTTCAGTGGGTCAGATTATGATTTTTGACTGTATCCTGGTGTGAAAGCAGTATGCATTAGTAGAAACTGAACTTTGGATTTTGGCTTTTGGTCTTTTCCTGGGCAGGCACTGTTCGGTGTGAGTCTCTCTCCTTTTCTGGGGAACAGTAGCTACCAGTGAACCAAATGATCAAGAGGGGAAAAATAACCACAGAGTTGCCTGCATTTTTTGGACATTGTGTTTTGTGCTTTCATCCTGTCACATCTATAAACCCCATCAGTGCATGTACCTGGGATACTCAACACTTCATTGTAAAACAGGTTTGTGTTAGATGACTTTTCTCAACTGTAGGCTGATGTAGGTGTTCTGAGCATATTTAAGACAGGTTAGGCTAAGTTATGATGTTCAGTAGGTTAGATGTACAAGATTCTATGCCTTTTTCCACTTATGATATTTTCAAAGCACAATGAATTTATTGAGATGGAAGTCAAGAAGCATCTGTATATCCATTGGATGTTAATGAATCACAATGGGAGACTTTCCCAGGCCACAGTTCCCTTTGGAATGGCTGGGTTGAGATTATTATCCAAGGATCACAGACTCAGGTTCCCATACAGAGCTCCTCATAGTAGACTCTTGTCTAGCTCAGAACCGTGATCGCCAGCCAGTGACTCTTTCATATAAGTCAGCTACTTGGAACGAAGTAGAACTGAGAAGAGTACTGAAGTGAGATTCCTGGGACTTCTCCAACATTTACAGGACAGACAAAAAGCCTAGATAGTATAAGAAAGAAAGAGCAATTGAGTAGGTAGAAGAACTGAGAGAGAACAGACTCACACAAGTAAAAGGGGAGCGTTTTAGGAAGGAAGTAAACAACAATGTCTGGTCCTTAAGAGAAGGTTAAGATGCTGGAGCTGGTGACTGCTTTGTCAGGTTGATTTGGCTCTGATGATTTACCATTTCTATTAGGTGGTGAAGGCAGAAGGCTGGTTGTAGTGGGTTGAAGAGTAAAGGACACAAGGAAGGGGTGGCTGCAAGTGTAGGCAACTCTTTGAAAGCAAAATGGAAGGGAGAGAAAGAGAACAGTGTGGTGGCCAAAAGGAATCTCAAGCCAAAGGAAGGAAGACTGATATTTGATAGGTGAAATGAATGGGTAGGCATTGAAGATGCTGCAGGGAAGGGATGATGGGTAGGGTAGAAGTGAGGAGAGATAGTCTTCTGTGACAGGAAAATGGTAGGTGTGAGTGGCAGCAGACACATCCGCATCTCCTGGATTCCCCAGTCTCCTTCCTGGCAGGACCATCAGGATACAGGGTGCTCATTGGATTCTCTGATCTCTCTCAGACTGATCCTGTGCCAGCTTTGGTGAGCTCCAGAAAGGTAAAAAAAGACTGAAAATTTATTCTTTTAAATTAGGTTTTGTTAACATGTTTTAATTGCATATGTTTATGTGATATAGTGATATTTCAACACGTGCATTGATCTCTGAATGGCACTGTCAGTGGGTTCTGTCTCCCTCTTACTCTGAATTCAGGGGAAAATTCACCCTTGGTTCACACAGGGCTGCTGTCTTAGGATCCTGAGTATCAGAGTCATGGGAACCTGCACTGGATTCTCAGGAAGTCCTATGTCATCAGCAGCCACCCTTGTCTGCCATACAAATTAGTACTCACCTTTGAGGATGGCTCCACATAGTCTCCAAAGCAATAGCTGTCTGGTTCCTTGGTGGAGGTTGAATGGACCACACTGGACGAGGACTCATAGGACTAGTCAGCCCTTCCCTTGGTGCCTCTGTTTTGCATGTCTCCTCCTCACACAACCCCCAGGCCATCCCTATAAAGATCTGATGCCTTGTGCACTACCCAGGCTTTGAACACTCTCTGCTAGCATGTTCCCAGTGGCTCAGGTTTGGCTTCTTTGGAGCCTGGCTTTCTGGAGAGCAGGTGAGGAGGGAGCCCCAGGGTAGAGGCCAGTTCAGCAAACCCTGTATACTAGACACCTGCTGCTTGATGCGTGACAATGCCATACACTGTAAATGCCACTTTTATTTTTTCTCCTTTAGCAGTGAGTGGGGATATCATCCTGACCCAGACACCAGCCTCCTTGTCTGCATCTCCGGGGGAGACAGTCTCTATCTCCTGTCAAGCCAGTGCTGATGTAAACAGAGAGATGTCTTGGATCCGGATAAAACTTGGCCAAAGACTTGAACCCCTTATATCACACATCACCACTTTGGCCTCGGGTGTCCCAGCCAGGTACAGCAGCAGTGGAAGTGGAACCAGCTATGTCTTCAGCATCAGCCCCGTGGAGCCTGGGGACTCTGGGGAGTATTACTGCATGCATGACTATGGGTGGCCAGTCCACAGTGGTGTCACCTGTGCACAAAACTTCTGCTGTGCATCACAGAGACTGAATTTCTTGGTGCCAGTCTGCAGCTGACTGACCTAGATCCTCTTTCAAAGATATACACCATATGTAGGAACTCCTCTTTTTAAAGTAGACATTAGCAGTCTGTTTTTGCTCTGGGCATTTCTACCTCACTGTATTTCTGTTGAATTCCAATGGCCATGGCTGTACTGTGCCAGGCTCTCTAGAGCTGTGGATGGCAGCTTTGCCTGCAAACTTGGAAGATCACAGAGCCTGGCCTGGGTGCCTCCCATGTCAGCCTCAGTGGATGATGGCAGGAGGAGGTGAACACATAACCCAGTTCTCTGGCTTCAGCTGGGGTAAGCAGAGGCATTTTTTCTGTGTTTCCAGAGAAGCTTGAACTCCGGTCATTCTCATTTTTAGTTCATCTGTGGAAATGCCTTTTACTATCCATCTTTTCTACCCATTTCATATACCCTCTTCCCTCCCAGGGTTCCCTGCAGCTCATAAACATGCTGCCTGCATGGGAATCCTTGTTACTGGGGGACCCAACATAAGACAGTAAACAAATATTCATTCTTGGAGGGTAATTCTTATCTGAATTTTTGCAATTCTTTATTTAGAGAAAATTTAAGGTAGGAAAATTCAGAAAATTTAAGAAACATTTAATTTCCTTTCCTGCAGCATCTTCAATGCCTACCCATTGATTTCACCCATCAGATATCAGCCCTCCTTTCTTTGGCTTGCAGTTCATTCTGGCCACCACACTTTTCTCCCTTCACATTTTGCTTTCAAAGAGTTGCCTACACTTGTAGTCACCCCTTCCTTGCTGTCCTCTCAGTCTTCAACCTACTACAACCAGCCTTCTGCATTCACCTCATGACTGTTTCTCTTAATTTCCTTTACCAGTCTCTCTTGGATTAAGTTTAAGCAGTGTTTTCTTTTTTCTGGGTCACAAAGTCAAGGAACCTCCACACAGATAGCTATGCCCTGTGGAATCCAGATTAGGGGCAGTGGTAGAAGAAGAGTTCTCCGGTCCCTGAAGCCTGCAGGCCAGAGGCCCCCGAGCCTCAGATTCTACCCAGCTCTTGCTTCATGAATCTGTTTACTTTTCCATGTCCTCTCTTTCTCTCAGACATGTGATTTTGGATTCTTCTTTAGGGGAGGGCAGGTAGGGGTGACAAGAGGGGTTGAAAGTTGATCAACACCACTCTCCCAAAAGATATCCATATGCTATTCTCTACAGCCCATGTTACCTTATATGGCAAAAGAAACTCAGCAGACGTGGTTAAGTTGAGGATCTTGAGTTGGAAGATGATCTTGGATTCTCTGGGTGGCCCCATCTAATCACAGGGGTCCTTAGGATAGGGAAGCACATCGGTCAGATTTAGAGATGTGACACGACAATGGAAGAGGAGGTTGGGGTGGTGCAAGGGAAGAGTGATGGGCCCAGGAAGGCAGATGGTGGTGTGTGAAAGCTGGAAAAGGCAAGGAAACCAGTTCTCCCCTGCAGCTTTCTTAAGGAAGCCTCGATGTTAGCCCAATGTCAAACTTCTCACTCCCAGAATTGTAAAGTAATTTGGTAATGTGGCTTCAGCCAGTGAGGTGTGTGCTTTGTTAGAATAGTTACAGGAAATCCATACAAGGGGAGAGAATGTCTTTTCCCTCCCTGAGTGGATGGTTGCTCTAACCCTTTCCACACTGTGATCATTTGGCCAGTTCTGACAAAAGACAGTTACTGGAAAAAGAACAGGATTCCTCTTAGGGAGAATCTCCTGGTGAAGCACTTTCAGTTCGTCATGTGGTGGATGTCTGAGATCCCAGGGCTCAGAGCTCACAGCATGGGAGAGGAGCATGGGATTCACAATAGGAGGGCAGTTAGTTTGAGAGGCACAATCTGAGAGGATGGAGTAAGTTAGAGACACAAGAATAGATAGAAGAGAGGAAGAAAAAGCCAGGAGAATGCAAGAAACCCAAATTACAGTCATTTGGATTAGAAAATGCGGAGTTTGGATTCAAAAGGACTCAGTTTAACTTTAGGGCCATCATGGTATAGAGGAGAGGCAGCAGGGGTCTGAGATTTTCACACCATCCTTCTGATTTCTTTTCTTCTGTGCTTGTCTCTAGAGTGAATATGTCTACTTGGAAGAAACAGTTGATATCAGACAGACCTGGGCTCAAATACCAGCCCAAGCACTCACTGACATGTGATCTTGGCCAGACTACCTATGCTATGAAAGCTTCTCTCCTCTGTGAAAGAGAAGAGTCCCCTGTGCTCTGCTTTACGCAGCTTTGAATATCTTAGAATGAAGAGGCTGTGTAAAGAATGACTAGCCAGATGTCATTATAAACTAAAAATCGCCAATAATTATTGTACAATGAATGGTTCCTCACTATATGCAACTGAGCTCTTGCTGAATAGGCCAGAACTTCTTCTTACTAAGCATTTACTAAAATGGGCTAGGAGTTGTAAATATGTATCTCTTTTAATTCAGAACAGCTCTTATGGACCTGAGAGCCATTTCCAAGAGTGAAATGTTAAAAAAATGAGATCCCTATCTCCAAGACTCCAGGAGAGGACAGAGTCTTCTGAGTTTGGCAATGAGCAGCCACAAACATGGCTGGCCCCATGTCATGTCCACTAACTGATCCCTGTGCTTCTCACTCCTTTGACTCTATGGAACCCTCATATCCACCCTCCCTCCTGCTCTAAACTATTATGTGATGGAGCGGGGACCAACAGTGTTTTCCAGGTTCTTATTGTCCAGTTCAGTGAATTGGTCAGGGCAATTGGTGAATATGAAAGATTACTGTTATTTTATGGAAGAAATAAGAAAAGTGAAGAGAAAAAGGAAAGAAGCTCCAAAGAAGTGCTCAAGGAGATAAGGGTGCTTTGAGGGAAAATCAAAGATATATCCTGAAAGCAGAATGGACCTCTGCAAGGACAAAAGGACAGTGGCCCTGAAGTCAGTTGCTGCTGTCTTCTTTTATAGTGGATCCAGGTGGTCCCACTTGATCTTATTCTGGAAGATTGATATCAGGTGCCAGGTTTGGCAGGTTCTCAGATCAGAAGATTGGTACTGGTGCAGGGCTCAGCTTGATCCTGTCAGGCTTGGGTGCTGCTGTTCTGCACCTGTGGTTGATGAGTCTCCTCAGCTGGTAGGTCGTGCCCAGCTGCTCTAGCCATGTCCTAGCCTCCTACTGCAAAACCACCCAGATTGGAATGGATCTAACTCCTTCTGTACTTCTTGGCATTTAAAAAATAATTTTATTCCTAACTGTCATGTATGACGTTTTACAGAATGTGTCCTGGGAGTTGTCTTGAATTCTGACCCAAGAAAGACTCAAGTTGGAGAGAGCTAAAAACCTCAAATCTGCAGAAGGCTGAGGACGGAACTACATAGAACACAGTCAAGAGTGAGGGTGCTGACCATGAACTTACAACAGAGGACAGAAAAGAGTGAAAACCTTGAAAGATACAACTGGATGCAGTCAAGACCCAAGACATTAGCAGACCGGCCAACTCTCCAAATCCTTTCAAATCCTTCTTCACTGGCCCGGCTGATTAGGGACCCAAATTTGAGGCCTCTTGTCAATAAACGTCCAATAGAGTTCTTTCTTTTTGCAAAAAAGCTGGTGCCATAGTATTGGTTACTGTGTGTCAGGTTGCTCACTATCACACATTGTGGGGTTGTCTGTACATTTTTTCCACTATGAAGCACTCCATCAACCCATTTATTTGTAGTATTAGGAAGATGAACAAGTATATGTGCTGCCAAAGCAAGCACAAACAAGGAGACTGCAAATGCCCATTGCACCTTTATTCTGGACTTCTCTTGAGCCCCATTTGTGCTAGCTTTCTATGCTGTTGTGAAAAATTACCAAAAATAACAGAAATTTATTCTGCAGCAGTTTGGGGGTAGAGAAGTTTGGAATAAGCTTCAGTGACCTGAAGATCAGGGTGCTGGCAGGGAGGATGGGGTGCAGAAGTTTTATGGGAGACTCTGCTCCTTGTCTTTCCCAGGTTCTGGTGGCTGCTCTCTCCTTGGCAGTGGCCGAATCACACTAGCCTCTTTTCTGTGTTCACATGGCTTTTCCTTCCCCCATCATAAGGATCACATTCAGATCACTTGAGATCACATTTAGAACCTCCCCTTCTAAGTATCCTTAATTTACATCTGCAATCCCGCATAAAGGTAATTCTCACCCTCCACAGAATAGGACCTGGTATTATGGTGGCCATACTTGGTTTACTAAACATTAAAGTATCAACTCTCCCAGTGTACACACATACCATAATCTTTCTGCCTCTCTCTTCCTTTCTTCTCTTTATCTCCCTTCACCATCATAAATCACTTTGCTTCTTTAAATGTATTCAGCTTCCCAGAGAGGCTCACACAGGGAGAAGTTGCTTGGGTTTTTCTAAAGACCTGCTCTGTCCCCAATTATGCACAAGGAAGGATACAGAAGGCCTTTGTTCATCTGGGGAGAAGCTGCCTCCACAGAGAGTCTGGAGCTGTTTGTCTCTGAATCAGATTGTTTTCAGGGACCCTTGACCTTCCACCTTCTTGGAGCATATGGGTGGCACTGGCTCAAGAGGATCCATTTCCGCCTCTCCTTTCCTCTCACTGTGGGCTGATTGTAGTGATGAATTTATTAAAGTATAGAAATGAGTTTAATTTTGGTTGTATTTTTCTTAGTTAAGTTCATGAGGCAGTTTGAAATGTTTTGCAAAATATTGTATGAGAATCAATTTTTTAGTACTGACTTGACTCAGTAAAAGAAAGAAAACTCTAATTTAGGAATAAAAATCCCCAATTGTCTCTATGATTTAGAGCCAAGAAAACTGTTTGCCTATCTGTCTCTTGATTGGCCTGATATTGCTGGGGATTGCTGGATTGCTGGATTGCTTTCCCACCTGCTTCTTGCATTGTTCTCTTCAGGGAAAGTTTTAGGATCCATGGAGTTGTATCCTAGCTGAATCTAGTGATGAAAACACCTGAGGGGCCCAGAAGGCTCCTTAGACTCACAGGTTATTTGGTTTCTCCTGTGATATCTATCGCCTGACCAATAACTAACTTGGCTTCTAGCAGAAGAAGTAGAGCCACTCTTCATCTCTGTGAGCAGAATGCACAGTTACCCCTCTGCTGACACCTGGATGGCTACAGGGAGACCCCATTTCTCTCTTCTTAAGAGGAGCCTGTGATGGGGCAGCATCATTGTCTCTCTCAACCCAGGCTCTGTGGGATCTGGGCATCGCCATCACCTTTACCACCTTCTGGAGCTGCAGTGAAGTGAGCCTGCCAGCCCTCAGGACCCTTAGAGAAGAGCCCTGGTTGGCGCCATAAGACAGGCAGACAGTCTCCAAAACAGTGCTTATTTAACTCCCTGAAGATGTGCCCAGATGCCAGGCAGTCCTGACAGATAACCAGCTGCCCAGCTTCACTCTCCTTGTCCTTATGTCCAGAAGCAGAGCATTCAGTGGACTCTTCAGGGTGAGATTCCTGGTCCAGCTTCTCTGCCTCCTGGTGATGGCTATTCAGGATAAGCACATTTTCTCTGAAAATCTCAAGCTGGAAGTTTAGCCCTTGATACAGAGATAAGGTGCTTTAAACATACTTTGGAAATGGCAGTGTAATATGGAGAGCTGTTTTTCTTAACCCTTATTAGGAATTTGAGGGACAGAGTCCAAGGCAAATGATGAGGTGCAAACAGCTGTTCTCTGCCCTCACAAGGACCATGGGTGCTGTTTCTCTTCTAATAGTTTCAGTGAAGCAATACACTGTGCTGCCTAGATGTGGTGACCTTGCAGGCTGCAGAGGACAGGTTACCCTGACTCAGCCTTCAGAGATCCTGGCAGCATCTCAAGGGGACTTTGCTTCCATCACTTGTAGAAGCAGCATGGCGGTAGGAGTCTCCATGTCCTAGTACAAACAGAAACCCAAGGAGTCTCCCAGGCTGCTCATCTGTGGGGCTTCTGCACCAAAGAGCTTCTTTGGGAGCCCCTTCTTGGTTCTGGGGAAGTAGCTCTGGCTATGGCTTCCACCTCATAACCTAAGGGTGGAAGATGAAAACATTGTCATGTTTTACTGTGAGCAGCATTACAGCCAGCCTCACACAGTGACAGCTCCCCAAACAAAAATATCCTTTCTGGGCTGTAGACCTTTCCTTGGTGGAGGTGCAACATGAAAGGTGTTAATGGCCCATATCTTAGGTATCCATGTTCTCAGAGCTTGTGTTTTGTGATCTGGTGGAGCAGGGGCAGGTGGAAAAGTTGTTGCCTCCCATGTAAACCAGATCTAGACAGAGGAAAAGGTGGATGGGGATTAGAGCCATGTTGTGGTTTAGACAGGTGCTTTAAATTGATTCATTTATTGACACTTCCATTATCTATTGCAGCGTAATGCATCACCTCAAACCTTAGAAGATTAAAACAATGATTTATTGTTTCTCAAGATTTTTGTGAATTGTCTGAGTAGCTTCTCTGCTGCTTTGCCTGAGCTGCCTCTTGCAGCTGCAGGCAGTTGGGTCACCTGTGTCATCTGCCCTCTGACAGCTGGGGTTGGCTATCAGCTGGGATTCCTTGGTTCTCCTCTTACTGACAGGCTAGTTGGAGGTGTGTTGGGAACATTTCCCCTCAGACTCAGGCATCTAAGTGTAAATTTCTTGTATACACTTAAAAATTGGTGAAACTGATTTTTTGTTGTTTAAGAACAAACTAGCACTAGCAATTCTGAATAAATTTCACTAGCAATTCTAAACACTAACAGAGATAAAATATCCCATTCCATAGGCATGACCATGCCCATTGTCCACTGCATACTGTTTCATTTTCTTCTGTTTTTCTAGTCTCTTTAGGTGTAATATTATTTATGTGAAATCTATGTTTTTTTAAATATAAACATATGTTTCTATAAAGTCCTCAGAACATTTTTGGCCCCTTCTCACAAGTTTTGATATTTTGTGTTTCCAATTTAATTTGTCTCAAAATGAGATAATTTTTTTCCATTAAGTTTATTGGTACATTGTAGGTATAAAATACAGTTACGTTCATCATTGGGATCTTGTACCTTCACATGAGTATCTTGCTTCTAATTTTTTCCCCCTTCCCAGCCCTCCCTTCACCCCCTCCACCCTTCCCTATTTGCAAAGACTTTGTTTCCATTTTTTCCTTTTCTCATATTTTTTCTTTTCCCTTCTT